GCTGGCCTCTCTTAATGGCTTACAAAAGAATAGGCATGTGGGGTCTCAAGGAGGCCCCAGTGTGATACGTAGATTCAGTAGAAATGTCAGAAACTGCTGAACAAGAGACACGCTGGCATTGATGAAATTAGTGGGACAGGGAAATAGTGTTTGCAGTTAAGCAGAAGTGCCTTCTGACTGCTTTGGAGATTCATTTGGGAAAATGCTGTAAGTTTTGAGTCAGTTCTTGATTTTATCGAATTGGTTCACACTTCCTTTGCATAACAGAAATAGCAATGTACGATATGCACCCATGGCATCTGTGGACAGATAAGACCTTTTCAACAGTTGCTTACTGTAATTATCTGCAGTGTTTTTTCCATTGTTAATTGTAACAATATTTACGTTTATGTGTGGTTTTATGTCCTTTGTCGAGCTGATTTAAGAAGGCACAAGGCAGCTCTTTCATGAAAACAGGGCCTCATTAGAAACTAGCTGACATCAACTCAACTGAGTCTCCGCTTGTATAAAACTTTTAATAAATAAACTGAGGGTATGTCTACATGGCACAATGCAGTGCAGTGTAGCGATACCCAAGCTAGCTTTAAATGAGTTACCTCAGTAGTCTAGCTGTGTTAAAATGAAGTCCCACCTGGGAAATTATCTGGGTGTTTGTCAGGGTGTCTGTATACTGCATTGTATTATGCAGGGTGGACATATCCTGATCTGTTTGTATAGTGCTTTAATACATATACATATCTCACAAGGTTTGTTACATGCTTAGTAATGCAGAGCTTTTTGCCCCCACCCCTTTCTCTTTTATGCAAAAAGAGGAAATGGTTTTTCTTATTCATGCCTCTTTCTTTGCCAGAGAAATCTTAAAAATCATTTGCACAAAACATGTCATCTAGTAGCTTTGACTATGCTGCTATATATATGTGAACTTTGAATCTAACATTTTCTTCCTAGGTACTACAAATGTGAAGTTTGATTTACATTTGTTTTTCTTGCAAACTAGGAAGAGCATAAAACATAGGCAGCTTTCCGTTCAGATGCCATAGACTGTGTATAAAAGCAGTCTGGAAAAAGCCACAGGAGCAAGGAACCAGCAGGGAGGCAGGAGGGTTTGGAAGTTTAACAGACATCTTTACAGCCAACAGACCAAGAGACTCTTGTTCCAAGCTGTATCTTACTTGAATATGTACTAGAACAGTTTATGCTCTTTTAACTTCTGGTTTCTCTCTTTGAAATCCAAATTTAGGTAGATGAGTTGCCCATGCCAGTTACACCTAGGATCTTGCCAGGTTTGCATCCTTCATCCTGGGCAGTTTTAGAAACTAGTCTTGGGGTTTTTAAAGGAACTATAATTTTGATGTTTTTTATAGATAACCTACAACAGCCAAAAGGCACTGAAACCAGGCCAGTCAGGATATCCTGCTGGGGTTTTTGGAGCAGGGCCCTCTTTTGCCATAACCAATAGAAACAAGAAAGGGCAAGTGGAAGAGTCCCAATAACCAATGAGTTACTTCAGTACACTCTCATTGGTTATGGGAGTTTGCTTATTGGTCAGAACTTCTTACCAATGCTGCTTGTAATTGACCTGGGGAAAGCTAGCATACTTGACAATACTGTTATAAACCTATGTTCTTGGGTTTTTTTGTTTGTTTTTCTGTTTCTTTTTTCTTTTTCTTTTTCTGTATTTTTGTTCTTTTATAGCATGTGAGTTGCATCTGAAGAGCAGAGGTTAGAACAGAATAGCTATTTCAGCTGCTTTTGCTGAAATGTCAGTTCCCAAGAAAGGAGAAGAGGGTTCCAATTCATAGGGTCAAGCAGGGACACTACTCTATTAAATTTACCTTAAAGTGACACTCTAGGGCAAGTGGTATTGGTATAATATTTGACAAGGCTGAGAGGGAAGAACAGCAGCCTAATAACATCACTATTTTCCATCTATTGCACTATATAAATAATTCAGTGTTCACTAGAATAGGGACTGGCATAGGTGGATTAACACCCTGCCCCTGCACGCATCCCTGGGGGAGCATAGGAAGGCATATGCCTACTGGATTTGTGCATGGGGTCAGGGCAGGCTGTCCACTGCAGGCTTGGGGCCAGGAGCTGTGCTGGCCTTTCCCAGTGGGGGGCCGGGCTGGGGCAGGCGGGGGCAAGATGGGCTCAGCTTCATGGGGCAGGTGGCAGCAGCAGCAGCAACACTGGGAGGGGTAGCTATGGGGGGAGCTAAGCTGAATACTGGGGTGGCTAAAGCCCCACAAATCCCCCCTAGTGCCACCCCTGCTCACGCCACTCCGTTCTGTTGTCTTTCCTCAGGAGCCCCGTGCTAGCCACACACCCCTGCCTGTCCCACAGCTGTGGGCTCCCAAGGGAAAGGCAGAAAAGCAGAGTGCTCCGAGCAGGGACAATGCTAGGGGGGCTTGGAGGGCTATAGCCACCCCAAAATTCTCTGTAGCCACCCCTCCCAGTGCCACTGCCACTACCCACCCCACTCCCAACCCCCTGCCCGACCAGGAAGAGGCCAGTGCTGCCCTGGCTCCAGGCCTGTAGTGGGGAGTCCACCCTCACCCCATGCACAAATCTGGAGGTCACATTTACCCCATGCCTCCCCTGGGGGTACACTCGGTGGTGGGGAGCCGCCCACCCCCCTGTG